CCTCTAAATATGACAGACCACTGAGGAACAATTAGTGATTCACACATAATAATTTGATGAATACTGGCTAATGCTCTATTTGTTTCCTAGTTTAAATTTTTATCAAAGCTTTTATCTCATTATAAATGCACATACATGTCTATATATATCTGATGAAATCTAATATTGCAGAGACATTGAGCAATATTCTCATGAATATTCTCTATTCGTTTTCCCGCTGTCCTGGATCAGTCCTGTCAATAGCTAGCATCCTCTAGAATCGACCATGTTAAACAAAACCCTGAACTATACCCACATTTCCCCCTACTACTTTATTTCATTCAATTATTCATTCTATGTCTTTACAGTACAGTTTCTCATAGGGGACTTAGTGACTAAGGTGTTGGACTCCCATATGGCTGACCATGGTTTGAACCCCAGACCCAGTGGCTTGAGAGCTGGGCATGTGTGCATGTGTGCATAGTCCAGAAAGAATGGAGGAGAAGGGATTGCAGCATGGCCATCCTGTGTGGGGGGTGACTTCTCACTTTCCCTCTCACTGCCGCTCTGTCTCTTTCTGGTGAGCGCACATGCCGGATGAAAATCTAAAAAAAGAAAAAAGGGGGGCATGGTTTCTCTATTCACTGTTCTATATTTTTACCTTCTAATTTTTTAAAATTACAACTTAACAAATATTTATAAAACATGCATAAAGAACAGATACTAAAAAAATAAACACCACTATTGACATTGAAGTTCCCTGTGTGCCACTGTGGATTCAGCTCACTTCTTTTCTCTTATAAGACACTCATCACCCTGAATTAATTTCTTTCTTTCTCATTCAAATTTCTTTAGAGTTTTTCCATATACTTATATTCCTAAAAGGTTTATCTCAATATATATTTTACTTATATGACTAAAGTTATACTATATGTACTCTCCTGTGATTTGCTCTTCTTGTTCAGTATTATTTTCCTGTGATTTATCCATATATTATGTAGCTGTACTTCATCTGTTTTCACGGTTGTGTTCCATCGTATGAATATATACCAGCATTTTTCCATTTTATTACTGATGGACATTTAGATTATATCTACTTTTAAAAATTTAATTTCTTTTTATTATTATTTTAAATTTTTCTATAGGGCATGCATGCTTACCAAAGAGAGAGAGAGAAAGAGAAAATGGGAGAGCAAGGCGCCAGGTCTAGAACTTGAACTACGGTTGGCCATGTGGAAGTCTAGCACCTAACTATCATGTGACCTGCTGGCCCCTATATCTACTTTTTTGCTACCCCAAATTGCATAGCTGTGTGCATCTTTGTTCTTATCTCCAGGTTTCAAACTATAACAAAGGATTAGGCTTTTGTCCCCACCCCCACCCCCAGTCTGTTGAGGATTGATGCTTTTGTAAAATGCACTAAAAATGCTTCACCAATGTTAAATTCCTATAAAAATGCCTAAATCTTCACTCTTAGTTTTTATTTTATCTTGTTATGGACCACACTGTTCTATGATGTATACCTAGCTGTGGAACTCCTGAGTCATTCCTTTTCTACTGCTTCTGTAGAAAATTTTGTGTGTGTGTTTTTTTAAAATAATTAATATCCTGATTGTTTGAATTTACATAGAAGGCAGTCTGCCAGCCCTTAGTGGTTTTGACTGCATCTGTTGTCAAGGCTTAACGTAAAGGGGGTTTCAAACTAAGACCTGCTGCTTTTTTGGTAATGCCATTTTGATCCTATAGAAAGTGGCTGCAAATATGAGCTGCTGAAGGGTTGATTCAAAGCCAACTTAACGAGTACAAGTGAGCGAAAACCCTGGTAATGGGATAAAGGGCCAAGAGGAGTGAATTTATTAAGGGACTTGGTCTGCGGTACAAAGTGCTACAGAAGAGAGTTCTGAAAAGAGTAAGCATAGGCGAAAATAGTGTACAGAGTGAGGATTTGCGGGCCCTTTAAGAACACTGTCAAAACAGGGCCTATGTTCTCTCTTGTGTTCGGGGCAACTTCTGAGCAGACAGCCAGGGAATTTTCTCAGTGTGTTAGGAACTTACCCAGAATGTAAGCTCACCCTCTCTCACAGCAAGCAGCAGAATTACTTTATAGCAGTGATTCTTGATCTTATTTTTGTAAGACCCCACCCCACCCCACCCCACCCTACCCAGGACCCTGTTTAGACACCTTTTTCTCCTAATCGTCCCTCCCCATCCATGAAAATTTAATACCATAGATATATATAGCATATCAGTTTATGTACTGTGAACTTTGGAGGGTAACAAAACATTTTAATTTTTCTTAAAAAAATTAGTTTTTGGTCCCACGTACAATTCTCACCTGCTTGCAAGAGATAAACTCCTCCCCTGAGAACACATATACACATATGGCTCTTGGCATTAGAGTGCACATGTTTTAAAAGGTGATGTTTACTTACTCTCATAGATCAGTGAACTGAGGAAAGGAAGACTACTTAACATTAGGAAACTGTCTTAATTAGAGTATGCTTGAGTTAGGAAAAAGTGAACTCTACTCAGACTGAGGAACTAGAGAAATGAGATGTAGGTATTTATCACCCTTTGATGGTATGCTTGTGGAAGAAATATTTAAGTTTGGATCAGATAATAGCATAGTTCAGCAGTTTGCAGATTCAGAATGCAAATTAGTGAGTTGATGCTTAACTGATAGGTAATTTTTAGTGACATATCCTATGGCTATATTTTTAATTTTTTAAAAATTCATGATGGAGAGCACATGCATGCACAAAGAAGAGAGAGAGAAAAGCACCCCTGAAGGTATTTTCACACCGCAGTGTCCTTTTCCCAGCCCTCCGGCTCTTTATGCTATTGGGCACATGCTTAAGTGCCTGGTGTGCTTTCAAACCAACCAAGGGATCTGAACCCATGGATAGCCATGTGGCTTCCAGCACTGCCGTTCAGTGTGCTACTGACTATGCCACCAGGCTGAGCCATGGCTCTGTTTTCATCCCTGTCTAATTCTAGATTTTTATTAGTGAATTTAAGAAAACACCAGATTTACAGATTTTATGATCATGAAAGTAATGATGAATATCTTAGTTATATATTCAACCTCCAAGGAATCTTTTTGGGCTAAAATAAGGATGGAAGTAAAGTATTAAAACTGAGTCTAAAAAGCCAGTTGTGTGGGAATAGAATGGAGAAAGTATGTCATAGCAATATCAAGTATTAAGAGAATTTTAGGTTATGTTAATGTGTTTTTAGGACGTTAACTAACATCTAAAGGTGCATTAATTGATATATCTAAGATCTAGATAGTATGCTGGTTGAATCACATCTTGAAATAATTTTATCAGGGCCCCACAAAATGTCATATAAATATGATTAGTCTACTAATATATATGATATACTTTGCATATGGCTATAGCAGTGACATTTTGTGGTACCAGTTCATAAATTTTCTGAGTTTAAGTATGTCTGGATTTTCACTGGGAAGGAATAGATTTCACTGGCAGAACAGAAATTACTTTCTTTAAGGATATTGACATAGAGATGGTGACAAAAACAATTGACAGTTTTTCAAGTGATTAAGAGTGGATATATTAGCTAAAATAGAGGTAAGCCAATTACACTCCACTGACAAATCTTGCCAGCAACTTATTTTATATATTTTTGAGATAAGAGTATTTTTCACATTTTAAAGAATTGTAAAACAAAAACAAAAAAAACAAGGAGTATGCTTAGCGATGGGTGCTTATAAAGCCTAAAATACTGTCAGTCTCTTTACAAAAACAGTTTGCCAACTCAAGTAGGTAACACTTTTAAGATCTTTTGCAGGCCAGCCAGTGGCATGGTGGTTAATGCAGCTGGATCCCACGTGGCTGTGCAGTTCACATCCTGGATCCAGCAGCTTGAAAAATACACTGAGTGTATGTGCATGCTTGCTCCAAATCCGGAGCAGCTAATGGAGGAAAAGGGCTCACTGTGTGGCCATCCCTCCTGAGGGGTGCTTTCTCACTTTTCTTTTGTCTCTGTCTCTCCCGTGATCTCACTTTCTGTCTCTGTCTCCCTTGTGAGTGCATGTACCCTATGACAAACTAAAAGAAAAAAAAGAAAAATGATCTTTTGCAACTAGAAAACTTAAGACAAAGGACAATAAACAATACAAATAGGTCAGTATATAGAAATTATATGATTATATTACAAATGAACTAAGCTAATATTTGAGATAATGGTTAAAAATTAGGCAGAACATGGCAATTGCAATCAATTATTAAAGCTAAAGGAGGAGACCTATTAATTAGCTCAGTAAACTTCAAAGAAATTTGGGATTGATGTTGCTAAATTAAAGCTAATTTTATCTCCTTGAATCTAGTGACTACCGAATACATTAAATAAGGAAGCAGCAGAAAGCCTGCAAGGAAGAAAGCAGGAACGAACTAGTTTGGGACTAAGAAATGACCATTGATAGTCTATAAAGAGACAAAAATGAAAACAATTACTAATTATCTGCACGTTAAAAAGCATATTACTTGCTCTTTATAAATCTATTCTTTTGTACTTAAATCTAATCCCCAGGACAGCAGCTTTGTAAAATTGCTTTTGACAAGAGTGCCTTACTGGTACTGAAATCGCACCACCCACTGACAGTGGACGAAGGTGATGACACCAGCCTTTAAAGAGCTAGTAGGGATGCGGAGAGTGTCTGATGATACATAATTTTTCTTGTGACTTTTTTACTTTTTAGTATTTAGATATGATTTTTGGATTTATATTTTTCTTTTTTGGTAATAAGTATTTGAAGATTAATATAATTTATTTTAGTAAGTTTATTCTGATAATTCTTTATTCTTTCGGTTTCTCAATTACAGATTGTACTAATGAAACATGATATCTAATTTTTATTCTCTCCTTCCCAGTTCCTTTTCTACATTTTAAGCTGTTTTAGGTATCTATAACTCAAGATGCTGTGTTTTGTCTTTACATATATTTGTTTATTTATTTCTGTTTTGTAACTAAGTGTTTTTTTTTCCCCTCTTTTTTTCCAGATGATTCTTTGGGATTGGGACTTAAAGCAGTGGTATAAACCTCATTATCAGGTAAATATATGAGATATTACTAAAAACTAGTATCTGTAATTAAACTTTTGACATTTAAAATTACATTTAAAAGGTTTTGGTCCATAAGATTTAGAGGTAATTTATTTATTTTTAAAAATTCATTTAAATTATAAAGGAAAAAGAAATGATAAGAATCCCAACTTACATAAATAGTTATTTTTAAATATTGTTAATATAATCTGGGCACGCATGCACACACGCCCGGCCCGAGTTTAAGCCACCAGGTTCAAGACTCAAACCGCGGTCAACTACATGAGAGTCCAGCGACATAGCCATTACGCCAACTGCTGGTCCCAGATGTTTCTTTTCCGATGTGGACCACTCATCTACAGTGGATGGAAAAATAGGTTGAAGGCTATGAATGAAAGCAAAGAAACTGAAAAAATATCTTATTAGGGAAGTTAAAGTGTACTATCGTCTTCGGTCAACATTTTACTAAATTATACATACAGAAAAGTGAACAGTTGGATGGATTTCCACAAACTAAATATCCCTCATTACTGGTACCATGTGAAAAAGTAGAGCATGACCAGTATCACAGAAGCCTCACTTATGTCCCATTGTGCCCCTTGCCTGAATTCCCAAAGATAGCCCCAATCCTGGCATCTACTGATTAGTTTTTCTTATTTTTTTTCTCTCTTTTTATTTCTTTTTAGTTTTAGCTATAGGGCACATGTACTCACTAGACAGAGACATGCAGGAAAAAAAGAGAGAGAGGGGAAAGTGAGAATGTACCTCTACAGGGAGGTGGCTATGCCGCAATCCCTTCTCCTCTGTTCTCTTTTGGGGACTTTTTGCATTCAGATTCACACACACCTAGTGTGTATTTCAAGCCGCTGGGTCCAGGACTTGAATTCAGCAGTTGGCCATGTGGGATCCAGCCGCTTTAATTAGTATGTCACTGGCTGGGCCCCAATTTTTGATCTTTATATTAAAAAGGAGTATTATATTGTGTGTATTTTTTTTTTTTTGGAGAGATTTTCACTGTAGGGCGCATGCGCTCGCCAGACAGACAGAGAGAGACATAGAGACAGAAAGCGAGAAATCACCCCCCAGGGGGATGGTCACGCCGCAATCCCTTCTCCTCCATTCTCCTCTCAGGATCTTGGGCACGCACGCACATGCGCCCAGCGTGAGTTTTAAGCCACCGGGTCTGGGACACGAACCGCGGTCAACTACGTGGGAGTCCAGCGACATAGCCATTACGCTAACTGCTGGTTCCATATTGTGTGTATTTTTAAGATGAACTTTTGTATCACTTAAGTAATAGAAAAAAATGGAAATATAAGGAGAATAAAGGAAAAATCATTTGTAAATATTAAGCAATAACTATATTAACTCTGTTAACTTTTGATACATATCTTTATAGATCTCTTCCCATTAGAAATATGTGTTTGGGGACCATCACATTGAAAAGGAAAAGGAAAGTGACAAAACACGCTGCCAGCCCAGACCTCTCAAAAGAAAAAAAAAAGAAATATGTGTTTGTATATTCTATTCTACAAAAATTGTATTATTATGTTTCATATGCTATTTTGAAACCTGTTTTTTTTACAATAATGAATAGAGATGAATAAATATTAAGTTCTTTGTTACATAACTATTGCCCCTATCTATTAGACTTATTTACTTCATTGCCCCCAAACCAGCTTTTGGAAAATGAATCTCTTTTTTTTACATTACAAAAGTGCACATGTGCTCACCAGAAACAGAGAGAAGAGAGCAACTGAGCAAACATCCCTGAGTGTGTGTGGTCATGATGCAATTCTTTTTCCTCTCTTTCTCCATCCCATCCAGGACTTTGGCAACACACGCACACCTGGCCAGCATGTTTTTCAAGGCCGGTGGGCTGGGCTTCAGATCTTGATTGGCCATATGGGATCCTGCTGCCAATACACAGGACTTAACCACTACACTACAGGACTGGTTCAAAATGAATATCCCTTTGTCTATTTTTTTTTTAAATTAAAGCTTATTTCTTCTGAGAGAGAGAGAGAGAGATACCTCAATAGAATCTTCATGCAGTGATCCACCCCCATCAGCCAGTATGGGTCGTGGGCATATGCACGTGTACCTGGCATATACAGAGACCTCGGGGTATGAATCCAGGACCTTCCCATGTGGGTCCAGCCTTGCAGAGTATTGTGTTACCATTGCATCACCATCTGGCCTCTGATTTTTATTTTTAAACTGTAAATAGGATAGCCACAACAGCCCTTAAAGATTAAATATTCTCTGAACTTTGGTGCACAAAATAATGTGATTATTACAGTCAGGTAAAATCAAGAAAGCTACATCTGACCTAAAAATGGTTGGTTCCTTGACTTCCATGGCAGGCTTTAACATCGTTCATTTTCAACAAGATCCTCAGTTTTCCATTAAACAAATATCTAAATCAATGGTAAAATCTAAAGATAAGTGATAACTAAGAGCATGGATATTTATTTAGTCAGATAGACTATATTTTAGTATATTGCCAATTTATCAATCATTCCCATTTTGTTAGTGATTTTTGTGTCTAAAATTGTTTAAGAACTCTTTGTCTATCCTTAAGGTCATGAAGAAGATCTTCTATGTTACCTCCTAGGAATATTTTTTTTTTACTTTTCATCTTTAGATCTATAATGCATCTGTAATTGATTTTTATGCATAGCATGATATATGATCAAGATATATATGTATTTTTTCCACATGGGTAGTCAATTGACAAAGTTACGATTTTGGAAAAAGCATACATTCTTCTTTGCACTGTTTTGTCACCTTTGTCATAAAACAAGTGACCATATATGTGTGGATTTATGTTGGGAGGTTCTGTTTTGTCCCCTTGGTCAGTTTGGCTATCCTTAAACATTGATACAATATTCACTGCTTTAATAATTTTATAATAAGTCTTGATATCTGGTAGTGTAAGTTCTCTAGTTCGTTGTTCTTCCACGTTACCTTGGATATTCTTGGTTCTCTTTGTTTTCATATAAAATTTAAAATCAACTTGACTGTTTCCATACACAAGAAAGTGTATGGAAAGTTACTGACTCCTTAGAACAATAAAAGGAGAATTTATATCTTTATAATATCAAAGCTTTCAAACCACAAAAGTGGTATATACATTCTCTTATGAGGGTGATATTTAATTTATATCAATAATGTTTTCAATGTGAAGGACTTACACATATTTTGTTAGATTTATTTCTAGGTATTTAATTGTTAAACATGTAAAAGACATAGTAAAAGATACAGTTTTTTAAAAAGTTCATGTTTTGAATAGTTTGCTGCTTCATAGTGGCTTTTGATATATTGATTCTGTATCTGGGGACCTTTTTATATACTGATTCTGTATCTGTATCTGTTTTGTGTATCTTTCGATACATAATGATATTAGGTGTAAATATGGGCAGATTTATTTATTTCCAATACTATGCCTTTCATTTCTTTTCCTGCCTTCCTGTATCAAGACCACTAATGCAGTGTGAAATAGAAATGACACCAGTGAGCAGCCTTGTTCTCATGAACTCAGTGAGGAAATATCCAACATGTAACCACTGACGCTTTCTATAGGTTCCCTTTGTCAGATAAGAAAGTTTTATTGCTATCCTAATGTACTGAAGACTTTTTTCTCTTTTAACTCATGCATGAGTATAGAATTTTATCAAATGCTTTTTCAGTATCTATTGAGATGATCCCTAAATTCTTTTCCCTTTCTTTTTTTCTTTTCTTTTTTTCTTTTCAGATTTTTGCCATAGGACACATGTGCTAGCTGGAGACAGAGGGAGACTGAGAGAGGGAAAGTGAGAAATCACCCTCCCACCCTACCCCTGGGAGATGGCTGCTCCACAATCCCTTCTCCTTTCTCCATTCTTTTCTCAGGATTTTGGGCACACATGCACACACACACCTGGCATGATTTTCAAGCCACCAGGTCTGGGACTTAAGCCACAGTTGCCCATGTGGCAGTCCATTGCATTAACCACCATGCCACCTGCTGGCCTCCCCTAAATTTTTTCTATTAATTTTATTAATACAGTGAGTTATATTGTTTAATTTGTGTGTGTATACACATGTGTGTGTGTGTCATATTATCCATGCATGCCCACAATAAAACAAATTTGATCAACATGTGTTTTCTGTTTTAAAATACTTATCACTAGGTTCTGTTTATTAATTTTTTAAAGTTTATTTATTTTCTGATTGGTGGGTGCACATTCTCAACAAGGTCTTTCTGTCACACTCATCCTTCTGGTCATGCAGCCAGCCAGGATCATGGACGGCTGCAGGTGCCACCTATGGGCCTGCCCAGCACGGTGCTGTACACCAGAGCTCTGCCACGTGATCTCCAGGGTCCCACAGCAGCACCCCTCCCTGTCACCTGCTCCACCATGGTTGGGCCTATTTAATATTTTGTTTAGGAATTTTGAGTTTGTGAGAGTGGTGGCCTATAATTCTTGCTTGTCATAATGTTCTTGGCATGTTTTGGTAATAAGGTAGGATATTTACCCCTTTCTTCTATCATCCAGAAAAGCTAGGTAAGAGTGAAGATTGGAATAATTTCTTCCTTTAATGTTGGGAGAATGCTCTGGTGAAGATATCTCAGCTTGGATTTTTTTTCTCTTTTTTTTTGATGAGCTCTATCTTACAGATTCTGTTTCTTCAGGTTTTCTATTTCTTCTTATAACAGTTCTTTAGTCATGTTTTTCTAGCAACTCTTTTTTCTTTTTCTTTTACTTCTTTTTTTTTTTTTTTAATACCCTCCCAGCATTGTGAGACTACCAAAAGCTATATTTTACTTTCAAAATAGAAATCTTTTTAAAGATTTTTACTTGGCAGTTTGGTTGCTTGGCCATTGTTTGTAAATTGGCAAATGCCATCAGGGGGAGAATAGCTCTGACCTGAAGCTCACTTATTCCCTCTTGCTTGGCCTTTCAAGCTCCTCCTCTGCCTTCATAACCCTGAACTCCAATTTTGGCCTCCAAGCCTCTTGAGAC